TTGAGAGTATTATGTATTCTGAATGCTAATTACTTATTTGATACATGTTTTGCTGAGATTGTCTTAGTTTATTGCTTGTCTTTTCATTTTAATAGTATCTTTCAAAACTCAGAAGCTCTTTTTTCATTTTTATTTTTAAAAATTATTTTATTTTTTCCCGTCACCTTTGTTTAGATTATTTATTAATTTATTTATTTAAGAGTAGTGCTTTTGGTGTTATGCCTAAGAAATCTTTTCTGAACTCAAAATCACAAAGTTTTTCTCCTGTTTACTTCTAGAAATTTGATGCATTTTAACATTTTGAGTTAATTTTTGTCTACATTGCAAAGTATGGGACAAAGTTCAGTATTTTTACATATGGAAGCCCCCTGAACTATTTGTTGAAAACACTGTTTTTTCGCAACTGAATCACCTTTACAACTTTGTAGAAAATCAATCAACAACATTTAGTGGCTCTATCTCTAGACTTTTCTCTGTTCTTTGATTCACGTGCCCATCCTTTTGCTAATACCACACTGACATGTCTACCTCAGCTTCGTAATAAGCCTTGGAAGCAGGTAGTGGGGGACCCACCAATTTTGTTCTCCCTTTTTAAAAATGGCTTGGGCTATTCCGCTTCTTTGAGTTTGCCATTAAAATTGTGGAAATAGTTTGTCAATTCTTATTTTAAAATCCAATGTGATTTGATTCAAACTATATTTTAAAATCTATGCATTGATTCTTGGAGAGTTGACATTACCACATTATTGAGTTGTCAATTCATGAAAAAAGCACACTATGTTCATTAATGTCTCCTTTAATTGGCGCTTTTCGTGTTTTATGGGGTCCACATACAGATTATGCACATATTCTGTTAGATAGATCCATAATTATTTCAAGGGTTTTGGTACTACTGAAAATGGTGTATATATCAATTTTAATTTTCAATTGTTCTGACGTGCACTTGATTTTAAAATATTGATTTGCTAATCTCACTTATCTGTTTTTAATAGCTTTTTTGTAGATTCCTTTGGGTTTTTCTACTTAGACAATTAAGTTGTCTGTGAATAAAGACAGCATTTTTTTTATTTTCAAGCTGTATTTATTATGTATTTCTTCTTCCATTATTGCACTACCTACAATGACTAATAAAAGTATTTATTGGGGGCACTGCTGTCTTGTTCCGATTTTAGAAAGAAAGCATTCAGTCTTTCACCAATAAATATGTTAGCTGTAGGTATTTTGTACATCTATTTCATCAGGTTGAGGAAGACTTCTTCTATTGCATGAATATTGAACTGTGTCAATTTTCTTTTCTGCATAGTGTGAAATGACCAT